AAAAGTATTTTTACTTTTGAAAAGCTGATAAATGTACATGATAAAAAAAAGGCAAATACAATTTCCTTTCATCTTTGTGCCCCAGGGATAGTGTGTGCATGTCTAGCATTTTTTTTTTTTTTTTAAAGTGTGTTGTACACATTCTGCCCCATTTTTGTTCATGTAATACTGCATCTCGGGAGTTGTTCCTCAGAGAGCTCTGACTGGTCCTTCTAGACCAGCAGTCCCCAACCTTTTCGGCACCAGGGACCGGTTTCATGGAAGACAAATTTTTGCACAGATGGTGGGGGGAATGGCTCAGGCGGTAATGTGCGTGATGGGGAGCCATGGGGAGCGGCAGGTGAAGCTTCACTCGCTCGCCCGCCACTTACCTCCTGCTGTGCGGCCCGGTTCCTGACAGGCCACAGACTGGTATCATTCCATGGCCCAGGGGTTGGGGACCCCTGTTCTAGACTGTTGCCTAGCCTCTCATTGTTCAGCTGTGCCAGACTTGTTTTTTTAAAACAGCATTCAGGTTGCATCATCCATTCTTTTGCTGCTAAAAGCAATGCCTTGGTTGTTTTGTTTCTCCGGTGGGTAGATATTTGCACAGACGTGTGACTCTCGGTGCTGGGAGGATTCCTTGGTGGGAAGGTCAGGCCGGGCAGCAGCACTTTGATGCCTGTTGCCTATTGGTCTTCAGAGCTAAGCTCCCATCAGACGTGCACAAGAGCGCCCACGTCCTGACAGGCCTCTAGCACGCCTGTCACACTGAGCGGCTGGTTGAAATTTGCATTGAGAGGTCGTGTCTTCTCGTGTTGAAAAGCTTTGCGACTTTTTTCCCTGTGAATTTACTCTCATTCTTATCCTCCTTTTGATTAGCTTTATTGGTCTTTTTCCTGTTGCTGTGAAAGAAGGAAATTAGCTCTTTGGTGCATGTGTAACAAGTGTTTTCCACTTTGTTTGAATTTTGCCTTAAGAAAAACCTTTTTATTAAATATAGTACAAATAGAGAAAATCATAGTTTTGCCTGTTTGTTGTTGTCATTGAAGTCTCCTTTAATTTATAGGGGCCTTTTTGACGCCCCCCCGCCCCCCCCCCCCTTAATGAATTTAAAAATATTTCTCTTTCAGCCCATGGACGTGGTTATCCTTGTTGAGGGTCATTTTTTCCCACCTTTTGCCAGGAGGAGCATCTTTGAGTTGGTTTCTGAGTCCTTTTGGTACAGCCCTGATGTCTTTGATCGCTTCCCTACATCTGGGATGACAAGATGTTATCTTGCATATTCCTTGCCTCAGATGTGGAATTAGCCATTTCTCCAGGAAGCCCTCATCTCTTGGTGAGAGGCGGTATTTCACAGTGTAGGCTGTAGGGAGACACGCTGCTACTGGATTCAGCTCCTGGATTCTGCACACACACCTGAGTTCATATGTCCAATTCCAATACATGCCCGGAGTCAAATCGGCAGCCCCGAGACCTCTTCTGCCCGACCTCTGGATCTGCTTGTCAGGACATCGGGAGTGACAGGATTGGAATATCCTGTAGATCCTCATTTGCGCATGGAAAATTCTCGGAGGGAATTCCAACGCCACCACTCAGTGTGATTGTTAAAATTTGTTTTGTGTGTATTCTCCCAATTTTTCTCCCCATTTCTAAGCAGATAAATTGTATCTCGGTTGTCAGAGCGTAGAGCCGTTGCAAACTGCTTTCTCCTTTAGTCTCGGTTCTCCATGTAAACGTAGACTGCTCACCACTGACCAGTTCATATGTTGTCTCTCCAAGTGACCTTGGTTTTCTGAATCTTGTTTTCCAGCAGTTTCTTCAGGAAGGGTTTCTGGGAGCGCTGTTCTCTGAGTGCTGTATGTTGGCATAAGTTGCTGCCTGTGTACCTGAAGCTCACTTTGTCTGGGTGTAAAGGCTCCCGTTACTTTCCTCTAGTGTCTTGTGTGTGTGAGTCTCTCTTCTTCTGCTGTAGTTGGATAACCTGCCCTGCCCCCCACCATTTTAAGGTGTCCAGTATTTTTGTCTAGATGTCTAAAATAACTTTTCTTTTTTTCTTTAAATAATTTTACTAGAATGTGTCTTGGTATTGGTTGTTCTGCCTGCCCTGCCCCAGGTTTATGGTGTGTCTTTTTCATAAGTAGTTTCAAATGTTTTCTCCTCATTTCTGAAGAGTTTTTTTGGATTTGCTTGTAGTATTCCATTTCATCGCTTTCCTTTGGTTTTCTTTGTAGAGTCCCCTATTAAACATATGTTGCATCCTCTTTGCTTGTCAGCTACTTTTTCTTCAACTTTTATCTTTCATTTCTTTTTTTTAAAATAAATTTATTTATTTTATTTTATTTATTTTTGGCTGCATTGGGTCTTCATTGCTGCATGCGGCCTTTCTCTAGTTGCGGCGAGCAGGGGCTGCTCTTCGTTGCGGTGCGCAGGCTTCTCATTGCGGTGGCTTCTCTTGTTGCGGAGCACGGGCTCTAGGCACGCGGGCTTCAGTAGTTGTGGCTTGCAGGCTCAGTAGTTGTGGCTTGCGGGCTCTAGAGCGCAGGCTCAGTAGTTGTGGTGCGTGGGCTTAGTTGCTCCGCGGCATGTGGGATCTTCCGGGACCAGAGCTCGAACCTGCGTCCTCTGAATTGGCAGGCGGATTCTTAACCACTGTGCCACCAGGGAAGCCCCCATTTTGTTTTTCTTACGGTGTAGTTTATTGTATTTACTTGCTCTTGGATTCCTTCTAGTTTAGCCTTCATTTCCAAAATTATTTTCCTTTTATTTCTAATCTTTTCTGAGTTTCCCCCCCTCATTTCTGAGTTTTTCTAATGCTGGTTTATGGTTAGTGATACCTTATATAATTTCCTTCATGAATATTAGTTTGTTTTGAAATATTAAGATAGAGTTTTCATCTCTTAGGGACATGTCTTTCTAGCATGCTTTAACTGTCCGTAGTGATGCTACTTTGCTCCTATTCACTTTTAAAATATATCACCTTGGCATGAGATTTGACCTCCATATTTTCTTTTGTTAATTTTCTGTGGAATTGATTTTCCTGGATATATGGAAGGAAGGCTAGATTTAGAATCGTTTTTCTAATTTCCGTGTCCTAGAGCTCTATTTTCTGTCGTTTTTAGAAAGTTGTAAAAAACGTGGTAGCTGTTTCCTTGCGCTCTCCTTTCTGTTTTCCTCCCCCCCCCTCCCCGTAATTAGACTCTCTTTCTCCCTGTCCTGTACGCTTCGTGTTCTATTCTAGTCATTTCTTTCCAGTGTATTTAGCGCAGGAGGGAGCTTTGGATGACTAGACTTTGAGCGTCCGTGGCCCAGAATGTTGGCCTGTGGCCGTTCCGCAGCTGCCCTGGCGTTTGTCTGCCCCCAGTGGTGCTTACCTCCTGGGTTCAGCCGCTGTTCCCAAGCAGACCCGTTTTTTCCTTCTCGCTGACCCCTGCTTCCTCCTTGCTGCACCCTTGAGGACCTCGTGCTGTCAGTGGTTTGCCCACTGGCTCATGCTTTGGGGCTCTTCAGGAAACACCCGATCTCTCAGCTTGTTACAGACCCTGACCTGGGTTCGCTGTCCTCATTTGAGAGATTAAAAATCTCTGTCACTGCCACCCCTCCCCAGCTGGACTTCTAAAGGGCTCGCCGGCAGTGCCTCTGCGGTCCCCGCCCAGTTGTTTGTCATCGGCGTCTGCTCTGGAAGGGACGTTTGGTGCTTTCGTGCTTTCCTCAGTCTCGCGTGAGGTGTCTAAATGGCGGTACCACACCTCGGCCATTTGATGGATTGCACCTACATGAAGGTGTTGCGTTCATTTTGTGAAGGGAAATTTAAGGCAGGAGCTTGGCTCCTTCTGCAAATGGCTGTCCCTAAGAAATCCTGGCGCTGCTACCGTTTAAGCTGTAGAATTTAAATCTGGCTTTATAGGATTTACGAACATGTGTGGAACCTGCGAATTTAATTTTATGCCTTTGGAACTTAGCCATTTAAAGGAGCTGTCAGTAGACTCCTGATTGAGACTAGGTGATCTGAAACTCTTAATTCAGCTGCCCTGCGTGGGCATGGTGGGAGTGGGCACGTGTGGGGCAGGCGCTGTGCTGTAGAGTTGGGTGCCCACTGTCCGCCCTCAGGGAACGTGCAGTCCAGTTGGGGAAGATAGATTACTTCTTTCATAAATACTTGTTTATAGGTAATTGAAATATAAAGTGTAGAATGATAAAAGTATTATGGTGGCATTGATTCCTGATCTCCTGGCACCCTGTTTGCAAGTACTGCATTTAGACCGCTGTGTTGATGGGTCGTATTTGGAGTGACGTGGCCTCATTTCTGTCTTGGAGAAGGTGTGTCTAGGCCTAATCGGAGTGTTTGAGGATCAGGAAGAAAGGAACGCACTGTGTTGCAGATGTGGTGCCATCTCGGCGGCGGCAGGGTGGTGGCGGACAGGCCCCGGGCTGGGGCAGGGGGCCGGTGCTGGGCTCAGTCCTCCCAGGAGCTGCCGCTCTCTGCCTGCCTGAGGGGAGGGCGCCGCGAGGAGTGGAAATGGGGCGAGGGGACAGCCTTGGCGGAAGGGTCCGTTTGGGTAAAATTCGGGAGGTATGTTTTCAGTGCTCTCTGGGGTGTGGTGTGTCTAGTGGATCTGAGAGCCGGCAGGGGCAGGCGAGGGACAGGACGTGTTCCGTGGGCAAGAAGGGGACCCAGGGACGTCTGGCTTGGGGTGATGCGTTCTAGCTGTCTTAGGAAGGTGACTTAGGAGGCGGTGTGGGAATGGACTGGCGAGGTGGGGACTAGTCTGGTGCTGAAGGACAGAGGCAGCGAGAAATGTTCGGGGGCCATTTCTCAGTTCTCAAAGGACACTAACCTTTTGGTGGTTTGGGGCAAGAAGAACCCTATATTTAAAAAACCCACAGGCTTCTGGTGTCCTCTTGGATACAGAACGTGGCTAGCAGTTTCCAGCATTTCAAGGTCAGGCTCGTTCATCTCCCTCTCCGCTATCCTGGCTTTTATTTTTAGGTGACAGAAACCCCGTGCCTCGTGAGTCTGATTCCTGCCCATTGACCGGCCGCTCTCCTCTCGTCCTGGATGATGTCAGAACAGGACCTGGCGGATGTGGTGCAGATTGCCGTGGAGGAGCTGAGTCCCGACCACCCAGGTACAGAGCGCGGGAAGTAGGGAGCCGGCGCTCCCCCGAGTCTGTAAAAGCCCCAAAGCGCTTCCACAAGTTTCCTCTCCCTTCAGTAAAGCAAGAGAAAAAGCGGTGCGTGCCCTGTATGAAAAACCCGGACCAGAGTGTGTGAGCTCTGTCAGCCCCATGCCCATCCTGGTGGTCCCTCCGCCTCCCCTCGGCCCACCTCTGCACCACACGTGGCTGTCCAGCCTCGGCCTCTCTTCCTGCCCCGCCCCCAGCTCCCCTGACTCCCCTTTAAAGCCCCCTGTGGTCACATCTGGGCCTCTTCCGCTGCTGTGGACAGTCTGCCCTGCACGTGGACACCTGCGAGGTGTTCCATGCACGCTGCTCCCTCCTTCATCCACCTCTTCCCTGGGGACGCCGTTAACATCGTTAACACTGTTTTTCTTTTAAGTACACCCTGCTACAAAGGTCCTTGCTGCGTATTGCAGCAAATACTTTCGTAGGGTGAGTTCCCAGAAGCTGAACTGTGTATGTTCAGAGTTTTGGTAAGACACACTTTATCCGATTATTCTGTGAGGTGACTTTCCTGCCCTTTTGCCAGGGCTGGTAATTTTCCTTAGTCACGTTAAAGGCACCCATCTACTTTGGAACCTTAACTAGATATTAGACACGTTATAAGGGAAACTCTAAATTTCAAGAACTTCATCTTGAACTACTTCACCTATGAAATACTTTGTTAGCACTTTATTTTATAAAAAGATTTCTTAGTAAGGGTCCTCCTTTCTGTTAAGTTTGAAATAACAAGCATACACAATTAAATCACGTAATGTTTTGGTTGTCTGCTTATTCTTTCTGGAATAGTAGAGTTGAAATGCTGACTTTTTTCCCCACAGAAAAGAGAATTTTCAGAAATCTCATAAGAAAGTATGACGATGTCTATCTTGCGTGATCTCTTTGCTCTGTTAGTTGAAAAAGCTTCACTGGGAAATTAGTTATGTATGGAAGGGTGGGTAGCACGTGATTTGGGGATTGAACAAGCAGTCACAAAGAGATTGGGGCACCCTTTCACGAATGCTGTTCTTTAGTCAGTTTTTGTCATTTTGCCTCTGAGTTGTTTATGAGAAGCACTGTCACCTGGTAACTGGCAAGATCAAGACCTGCCAGATCCTTGAGCCAAGTCAGGGTGTCTGAATGTAGCTGTTTAACCCCAGTTTTCTCTGTGAAAGTGAACCAGTTTGTTTAGAGCGAGAATGTGAAGCCTTGACCTCATTTAGCGCCACACCTCAGAAACCAGTGAACTAGAAAAAACGCAGCGCTGTCACTGTACATCACAATTTTAAAAACAGCTGTTCGTATTTTGGTGGGTGGATGACCGTCTCTTTAGAAAACACTCACACTGCAATGCTGTAAAAGAAAAATGTTCCAGTTATATAAATGTTAAGCATTTTTAGAACTATTAACATTCTGACAGTTTACTTCCCAATTAAATTGTCTCTCTGTAGATTACAGTCCAAGGAAGGGTTAGAGAAGTCACTTCTGATCCTGGTGTTGTTCCACGTGGCTTTCTTAACTAACTGGGAAGTATAGCTGTGGCTGTGTAGTGAACACCTACTGTGTGCAGGGCTTCCTGAGGCCTCCGTAGACAGGAGGCCTGCCATCTCTGGCCCCAGAGGGCTCCCCCAACACCGGCAAGCACTGTGCTGCCTCCCACACGATTGTCCTGAGTGGGTTTAAGATTGAGATGATTTTTTTCCTCATTTCTAAAATGTGAACTTTGTAAAACTTAAACTGTCAAGCAAGTAGAAGAAATAAAAGTTTCCCATAATCCTAGTGATAGAACTGCTTTTAAATTGTTGGCATGTATGTCCTTCCGTTTTTTTCTGATTTCCATTTAAAATCAAAATGCTTAGGTTCTTGTGACTTTGCATGCACTCACCACATGGCTGCAGTCTCTTTGCCCATCTGCACACACGTACAATTGTAAATTTCATCGGGCCTGTCATTGCAGGTGATCGTGATGGCTTTAAAATGAACACTGAGTTCTTTTGTCTAATTTTAAAAGTAATGCACGCAGAATGATAAAAAACAAAGTAAAAAAGGACCAAGAAGAAAATAAATAGCAGCCCCGCGGCCCGTAGAAAGTGAGCGCCGGAACCCAGGTGTGTGCCCCTGTCCCCGCCACGGGCTGTGTCTCCTTTCCCTCATCTGCTCTGCTGCCCTTTGCTTACAGCCTGAGGTGCTTCGCTCTGCCAAGGGCTTGGAGTCTTCTTCCTGTAGTTACAGGAAGCCAGCTGTGTGACCCTGGTCAAGTCGCTTAACCTCTCTGGACTGGATTTCAGCAAGTTAAAAGGATCAGACTAGCGGTTGCCGGAGCCTCCCCGTCCTCCCAGTCCTTTCTTAATTACCAACGTCCAGTGGGAGTAGGTAGGCTTTGATGAAGGTTCTGAGAACCTGTGTTTTTGCACTTGTAGCCACGGATTTTTCCTTTTTTACCTTAATGACAATTCATTCCCACACATTTTATGGAGGTGTTGGAGGTGTGGAGACACAGTGTACTTTGCAGGGCCCTCTGGTAAGCAGGATGCTTCTGGCGTCGTTGGCCCGTGGCTGGTTTCTGTGAGGTAGAGCTTTGGGTGACAACTTAGCTCTGGAAACCAGCTTACTGGTCTCGCCTGGGACCCCTGAAAGGTTCACGTTAGAGTCGCAGGTCTGTTCAGCGTCTTTACATTTTAGAGTTTTGCGACGAATCACCTGGCACATACAGGTGTAAAGGCACCGGGCTTGGGACCATGTGGTGCCGGCCTTGAACTTGGGCCGAGTTGCTCATCCGTGGAGAAGCCCTGAAGACCCCTTGGAAGGTGCTGGTGGGAGGCCTTGATTTCAGCCACACTGGCCGGGGGAACAGCTTTCCCTGTAACTTAGCGTGTTACGTTTGAGACAAGTTTCATGATTAGCACCTCAGAAAATGTAATATTCAGAGAGTGGCTTTGATTTTGGGATGAGGTGGCCGGCTGACAAGACTTCATTTTAAAGTCGGGAAGAAATCATTACTAGCGACTGGACTCCATCGGAAAAGGGTAGCCGGGTAGGGTATTGAGTGAGAAGCCCGCAGTCTTGGTGTTGGGGTCAACTCAGTGGCGCATTAGTGAAAAAATTTATCCGGAATCTCAGTTTTCCTTGAGATTAGGGAGAGATCCTGTTTTCTGCCTGACTGAGAATTTTAAGTTAAATCTGTAAAAAGTAAAATGTGAAGCAGGTTGTGCCATTTCTCATGTCACCTCAAGGTGACACCTCTACACTTAAGGTGTCAGAACTGTTTCCTGTCTTAATATTAAACAGCTCTGTAAAACTTTTTGAATTAAAGTTTTTTTGTCTCTGCCTTTAATTTTCAGTTGTACTGGAGAATCATGTAGTGACAGACGAAGATGAACCAGCTTTGAAACGTCAGCGACTAGAGATCAATTGCCAGGATCCTTCTATAAAGGTAAAAAATTAATGTATGTTTTTGTTTGTATCTTATGAGGGGCTGCCATAACGAATTATCACAATGCGGGGCGGAGCGGGGAGCACTTAAAACAATAGAAATTTACTCTCTCACAGTCCTGGAGGCCAGAAGTTTGAAATCAGTTTGTCACCAGGGCTGAGTTCCCTGCAGAGGCTCTGGGGGAGGGTCCCTCTTGCCTCTTTCAGCTCCTGGGGGCCCCAGGCGTCCCTTGCCTCGTGGCCGCTTCCCTCTAGTATCTGCCTCCGTCTTCACGTGGCCTCTCCTCCCTGTCTGTGTCTCTCCTTTTCTGTCTCTTATAAGGGCAGTCTCTTTGGATTTAGGGCCACCCTAACCTAGGATGACCTCATCTTAATTTGATTACGTTTGGAAAGATACTATTTCCAAGAAAGGCCACATTTGTAGGTTCTGGGGGTGATGATGTAGACGTATCATTTCTGGGAGTCACTGTTCAACCCCCCACGAATGCATAAAGGCATGACGTTTTCCCTTGAAGAATCACATGGTTTAATTGGGATCGCTGCCACATGAGGCCTCTTCCTCTGTAGACCCGTGGACCTAGTGTGCACGGAGGGAAAGTGCACAATTCCTGTGGCGAATATTTTCTACTAGTGATGAAGCACTTTTGTGCTTATCGTTTAAGTCACCTAAATTTTAAAGTTTGCTGGGTGGGGTCTGGGAAACCACAGAGTCAGTCGTGGGTGATGGCTGGTTCTTGGGTTTGCTTGTTTGGTCTGCAGTTTGCAGAGGCACAGAGATAAACACCAGCACCTGTGAGAAGTTAGGACAGCAGTGCAGAGAACCAAAGCGACTTCTCCTATACCCTCTGCTTCTATAGGGCTGTGTTTAGAAACATCTGGCTCATCTTTTTAACGAGGAGAAGCAGCGTGAGCTTAAAGATACGTGGCGTGGTTTAAAGACACATTCAGTTAAATTTCTATTTCCTACTAATGGATAGAGGGCTGCTGCTTCAGTAACCCCACATTATGTCTTAAAATAAAATGCAGTTATAATTTTATCACAAAAGAGGCGTGTGTGGCAAACAGCACAGCAGTCAGATGTGGATAAGGTGCAGTGAAAGCGCCCCCGCCTCAGCCCCGTCCCCTGGTCGGCGAGCAGGGCCTCGGGCCCCGGCTTGAACCCGGCACCCGTGTGCTAGGAAAAGTGTGCTCACCAGATTGCCAGAGCTCTTTATTTTATTTTTTTCACTTTAAATTGGTTAATTTAATTTAATTTTTAAATATATCTTTATTGGAGTATAATTGCTTCACAGTGCTGTGTTAGTTTCTGTTGTACAACAAAGTGAATCAGCTATATGGATACATATATCCCCATATCTCCTCCCTCTTGTGTCTCCCTCCCACCCTCCCTATCCCACCCCTCTAGGTGGTCACAAAGCACTGAACTGATCTCCCTGTGCTATGCAGCTGCTTCCCACTAGATATCCATTTTACATTCGGTGGTGTATATATGTCCATGCCACTCCCGGACTTTGCCCCAGCTTCCCCCTCCCTGTGTCCTCAAGTCCATTCTCTATGTCTGTGTCTTTATTCCTGACCTGCCCCTAGGTTCATCAGAACCTTTTTTTTTTTAGATTCCATATATATGTGTTAGCATACGGTATTTGTTTTTCTCTTTCTGACTGACTTCACTCTGTAGGACAGACTCTAGGTCCATCCACCTCACTACAGATAACTCAATTTCGTTTCTTTTTATGGCTGAGTAATATTCCATTGTATATATGTGCCACATCTTCTTTATCCATTCCTCTGTGGATGGACACTTAGGTTGCTCAGAGCTCTTTAAAAGGAATAGATTTGGATGATTTTTGGTTAATATCCCTTGTATATAGAAGACTTATTTAAAAGTACTATTCTCTGCCTTCCTTTGTTTTAATTAATTTGTGAAGTTGTGTTATTAGTGTATTAACAGTGATGTTTGTCCAAACTCCGGGCAGAATCACTTCTAGTTCAGAATTAAGACGACGAGGTTTCACTGTGTTTAGGGAATTTGGGAGCCGCATGGTTGATGTCTTCAAATTATAAAAAATAGTGGGGTCATCGGTGATTTTATCTCAAGACTTCAGCCAGCGGCTAGTGGTTGTCACGACGTCTTAGGTCAGGGTGGGCCTCGGGCGCTGCCTCGATGTCACTCTCGGGATGGGCCGCCCACGCTGTGTCTCCACATGACCCTGGCATGGTCTGCCGTGCCTCCACGGCCCGTCCTCCTGTGGGGGAGTCAGCGGAGGGTGTGGGATTTAGCCCTCTCCCGTATGTGTTAGCTCTCCCGCGATGGGACTCGTCAGGGGGGTGATTGCTTGAGACACAGCAGGTTGTTGGGACAGTGTGTGGGTTTTATTTACCCCACTGCTGCCCTTGCTGCCGTACAGACCGGGCAGTTAGACAGATGTGTTTAATTTCCTCAGAAGATCAGCTCAGTCTGTTCAAAGCACTGAATAAGAGTATCCATTTTCCTCGCCTCCTGGGCCTTGACTCCAGCCGCACGGTGTGATGGGCCACGTGGCTCAGCTGTGGGGTCACCTCCCATGAGGAAGGGGAGCGGCCGCCGGAGTGGGTCAGCCGCGGCCAGTGGGCAGAGGGGCCGGCCTCCGTGCCGCCGTGCGCTGGGGTCCCGGTCTGCTCCGAATGGCCCCTGTGCCCGTCTGCTCTCCGCAGTCTGTCCCCTTCCTGCTGATGTGACTGGCACTCTGGGCATTTTTCCCTTTGAAGTCAAGGGCAGAAAAGGAGAGAGACAAGGTAAAATACGAACTCTTCACTATTTCAGCTGCTGCCCCCGCTGCCCCCCTCACTGCTGAGCTGGGCGGTTGGATGCTCCAGGGGCTTGCTCTGGGCTGACGCCCGTTTCCCAGTATCAGCTGGTGAGGCCAGCAGGGGCAGCAGCCTGCTTCCCTCTGCGCCCCTGCCGACTCAGGGCAGGAGCAGCCGCCGTGGGAGGGGACGAGCTTCCTGTCCGGTGTTTGTCTGAGCCGTTCCTTGCCTTTGGAGCCACACACGTCCCTGTGTTCGGCGGGACTTGGGTGGCAGCAGTGGAAGGCGAGGCTGCTCTTTCTGTGGCCACTAGGTGGCAGGCGTGCTGCTCCCACGCGCGGGAGAGTCATTGCCACATTTCACCTTGGGGGTGGGGCTCGGGGGAGTGTAACACGAGCAGGCGGGTTTCCGGGCCGTTTTGATGTTGGATGTCATCTGTTTTCATTGTAGAATCTGACCAGTTTTATGTGTAAGTTTACTGATTAATAGAAACTTGCGTTGCAACGTCCACTTACATCTCGTGTTATACGGACTTAAGTGTAACTAAGAATCGCGACTACACAGAGAAGTAAGAGCCCGGTTACGTAGTCACATTGTGAGTGCACAAGGTCGAGCTTGTTTAGTGAAATGCTTCTGGCTTATAACTAAAGAGCTGAAGTGTGGGGATTGTTCTGTGGGAATAGATACAGCTGAGTCTGGGAAATAGCTGTTTCATGTTCCTTGGAATTATCTCCTTGGAGTTCAGGATGCCCTTCCTGAAGCTTTCCTTTTTTTCACTTGCAGTCATTCCTGTATTCCATTAACCAGACAATCTGCTTGCGATTGGATAGCATTGAAGCCAAGCTGCAGGCTCTGGAGGCCACATGTAAATCACTGGAAGAGAAACTGGATCTGGTCACCAACAAGCAGCACAGCCCCATCCAGGTGCCCATGGTGGCGGGCTCTCCTCTCGGCGCCACCCAGACCTGCAACAAAGTGCGATGGTAAGAACCTCCTCCCCGGGCCCATGCCCCTTGGTGCTTTCAGGGTGGGATCCTAGTCAGACTGGAAAGAAACACGGGGCCTCTGCGGGGCGGCTGGGGTCGTCCTCACAGTTTCTTTTTGACATAAGCCAGGCTGGTGCATCTCTCCTTTGGAACTGGCCCACTGGAGCTTTGAAGCTGTACGTTCGTTTCTTCTCTTTTTTTTCTGTTCCATCTGGCTAGTCTTGAGAGAATTTTTTCTTCACAGGTAGCTTGTTTTTTTTGTTTTTTTTTTGTTTTTTTTTTGCGGTACGCCGGCCTCTCACTGTCGTGGCCTCTGCCGTTGCGGAGCACAGGCTCCGGACGCGCAGGCTCAGCGGCCATGGCTCACGGGCCCAGCCGCTCCGCGGCATGTGGGATCTTCCCGGACCGGGGCACGAACCTGTGTCCCCTGCATCGGCAGACGGACTCTCAACCACTGCGCCACAAGGGAAGCCCCATAGGTAGCTTTTTATACATTTCACTTGAGTATATCAAACTTTCCATTCGTGTCTATAGTTTTTATTGTGCCTGTATTTTGTTTTTCTATCTAGAGCCTAACTGTAGTGACATGTAGTAGTTCAGGTGCCGTTTGAATCAGAGCTTCTGGAGAGTGTGGGCCGATGGGGAGGGTGTCTCTGTCTCTGACCTGTTTGCCTGTCCTTGGTCCGGGGCACCGTCAGGGGCTCTGCTGAGATGAGCGGAAGCTCAGGTCGTGGGCGGCTCCTTCCATCAGTTCCACTGGTGTTTTTTTTTTTTTTTTTTTGCGGTACGCGGGCCTCTCACTGTCGTGGCCTCTCCCGTTGCGGAGCACGGGCTCCGGACGCGCAGGCTCAGCGGCCGTGGCTCACGGGCCCAGCCGCTCCGCGGCATGTGGGATCTTCGCGGACCGGGGCACAAACCCGTGTCCCCTGCATCGGCAGGCAGACTCTCAACCACTGCGCCACCAGGGAAGCCCTCCACTGGTGTTTTTTATCCTTGCCCACGGCGGGCTACAAGGAAGTCTCACTGTGACGATGGCAACACCTGTTTTTGCGCTTGGCGAGAGCTCGGGGCTTTTACCGAGGGTCTTGTCGTGGCTCTCTGGGCCAACTGCTGCCTCTCTCCCGTGTGTCTGCGGAGGAGGGCGGTGGGGCTCAGAGGAGGGGGAGCCACGGCCAGGCTGCTGCCGCGTCTGCAGGTCCGCCCGCGTGTGCCCTGGGGCACGTGGGATTGAGGAGGGTGCTCAAGTATGTGCCTCGTGTCAAGGTGGCTGCCTGTCCTGGTCTGCCTGGGACAGCCGTGGATGACGCCTGCAGTGTGGGCCTCCTTTAACTCTCAGAAGTGTCCTGGGGTGTTGGAGACCCTGCGTGGCCCCGAAAGCTGCTCTCCAGCTGGGGTGGGGGACCCCAGGGGTCTCTGTCCCCAAAGGGAAGGCCTGTTGGTCCGTGGTGATTCACCCTGTGTTTATACCTTGTCCTGATGGGTCAGCCGTATCTTTTCTCCCAGTGAACATTTGTGGAGCGTGTCTTCTCTGCAGGCAGTGAGGCTCAGACCTACCAGGACCAGTACCCTTTTTTTTAAAGAAGCTGGTTGTCCATTTACTTATTTATTTATTTGGTTGTGCTGGATCTTAGTTGCAGCAGGCGGGCTCCTTAGTTGTGGCATGCAAACTCTTAGTTGTGGCATGCATGTGGGATCTAGTTCCCTGACCAGGGATCGAACCCGGGCCCCCTGCGTTGGGAGCGCAGAGTATTAACCACTGCACCACCAGGGAAGTCCCAGCCAGTGCCTTTTATAAAGAATAATTTTTATGTAATGACCTCATATCCTAAAATGCAATGTTTAGAAAATATAATTTAAAAACTAATGTAATGTCTTAATTGTAATGTAAGGAGAACTAAAAGGATGGTCACGTATAATAAAATAGCATGTATTTTGATATGGAAAAGGCTGGGGGAACTACATAAGGAGTTAGTGAATAGGACCAAACCTCCCATGCCAGAGCTGGCAGCCGGGAGGGCTGTCACTCTGGGACTCAGATACCATTGGTGGTGGAATATTTCCAAATGAGCAGTTCTTGATGAAGTTTCACGTAAAGCAAAGTGTAGTTTTTTCTAGACTCAAACAATAGTGAAATTCCGGGAAAAGTCACCTTACGTTGAAACGATCCAAAAATACTTTGTGTATGAGTGTAGAATGGAGTAAGATTCTGGGCTCAGAGTTAGAAGCATGTTGTTCACGCCCATGAATGGGACCTGTGGGATCTGTGTGGGAAAGGTTTCTGTCGGGGAGGCTGTCTCATGCCCTGAAGGCTGGCAGCCTCCTTGGCTCTGCCCGCCAAACCCGTGGGGTCTCAGGTGTAACCAAGTGCGCCCCCGGGCCCCACCCTCGAGGACTGTTGCTCTGAGAGATGAGGCGAGAGTGAGACAGGCTTCCTTCCCTGAGTAAGGATGGCTCTCCTGGTGGCGTGTCCCTTTGTCACCTGTGTCAGGAAGAGGTCGTCTTCAGGACCCAGGGATGTGCCGCTCATACTGCACCGTCGGTGGTTTGTGGCCGTTCCATGAGGTCGGGCGGACGAGGACGAGTCCTCGGGGCTGCAGGTGGCGCTGCAGCTGTGCTTGGACCCCGAGGCCGCTCGTTTGGGGCTTCCCTGGGTGTCAGGTCCAGGGGGGAGGACGGGCCTCGGCGGGCAGGTTGTCCTCGTTTGACACCATGGGGTGACCGGGCTGAGTCACAGAGTTGTGCTGTTTCCAGTCTGCCCGTCTTCAGAAGGAGGATGGGGGAGAAGGGCAGGTCTGCAGGGACCACCAGCCCTGTCCTCTCCTGCAGGCCAGTGATGGACCCGCCATGGCCATGCCCGGCCTGCTGCTGAGCGCGGCCTGACTCGTGGGCCACGTCCCGTCTGAGGATGGCGCTGATGGCTGCTTGGGGGAAGGCACTTCCAGACTGCAGGGAGGCCCCTTCTCTCTCCAGCATGCCGGTGACGGCGGGGCTCGTGGGGCGTGTTAGCGACTCTCCCGTTCAGGAACCCCGGGGCGCTTCCCTCCGCTGGGGAGAAGCTGTCATCGTGGAGAGACCTCCGTGTGCATTGACAAGCGGTGAAATCAGAGTAAAGTTTTCTAATACAGACTCAGGTGTATAATCTAGTTAATCCAACTCAGTTAGCTTTTCTGGTTTTAAAGGATCGTATTGTGACATAAAATCAACCCATTATAGAATACACTTATTGTATGTTGGCAGCAGATTTATTACTATCGTTAATAAAACCATTACTTATACAAGTTAATGTTAGATTAATAGAAGGAAAGGTCACTCCTTTGTTTTCTTAGATATAGTTTAGAGTAGGTTGTTTATGAATGATTTTCAAAGAAGATACTAAGTCTGGCATTTCCCTCCATGAATGTTCTAAAAATGAGAAATAAAAATTGCCAGTCATTGAAAGCTGTTAACAAGAAAATTTGGGGAGAAGTAAAGCTCAAGAATTCAACCCTAGTATATCAATGAAAAAAGTGTACATTTAAGTTAGAAAATGACTAATTTATAAGCACATAAGTAAATGAGAAATGTGTATCTTAAGTGTGGGTAGTAGAACACAGAAAAGGAAGTCTCCAGAAAACAATGAGAAATTGGTTAACATTCCGAGTAATAAAGTACTTCTACAAGTACTTTGTACCTCAGATACTTAAAATAACAGAAGCATATAAATCCCAGATTATTTTATATCTGGATCATGTGCTTTAAAAAATAACTTAAGATTCCTTAGGCCACTTGGCACTGGCTGTGAGTGTTGTTGGGAAGTCTGTCATCTCCCAGGACAAACGAGGATGACCCTGAGGGGCTTGTCGGCTGTGACGAGGCCTCTGGATGGTGGGTGAGGAGTTGTCCACTGCAGCGTCACTGGCCTCTCCACTCGGAGAGGCCGCACCTGGCCCAGAGCAGCCCAGCAGCTGTGGGACACACCGAAATCCACTTGCCTGTGGGTTATTTCTAATTAAAGCTGGCCTGGACTAGACTTTGCTCTCAGCTCTGAGAATTATTTATTTATTCTCTTGAATTCCCAGAGCACAGAAGGCAGTGGACTGCTGCCAACCCTATTTGGCATTTTGGATCCAGATTTTTCAGATTCTACGCCTGAATGAGATCCTTTAAATAAATTCAGGAAAAAGGAAGAGAAAGAAAGAGAGAAAACCTTTTTCTTTGATGCCAAAGCTTAATCATTGTAATAAACATGTTTGTAAGTTTACTTGGATGGGGTTTCATTCAGCAATGGTGTTCTACTTGGGAAAAAGAAAAATGGACTTGACTTCTTTTAGGTGACTGCTTTTTTTTCCTCCTTGCAAGTGTGCCATAAATTGGGATTTTGCCTCATTGTGATCCTAGGTGTAGCCATGTGAGGTTTCAACCCTAAAGCTGTGTCGCACTGGCATTGGAAGGGGCGGGCGCCGAAGCTTTCTGTGACGAGCTGCACAACTCAGTACGTGGCAGCTCACCCTTTACGTGCCCCTGTGAGCATTTCAGGAGCGGCCTCCATTGAATTGTGTGGTGTGATGGGATCAAGTGTGTGGATGGGGACGTTTATATGGATTAATGTAAAACCCCATTTTCTGAGCTTTGAGGCCAGGCACAGCCACTTGAAGGACGGGCAGTAGGTAGGACCGAGCTGAGCCTGGGGTGCAGGCCCACCTGGGTTGCTGTCCTGGTAGATGTCCTCTGGGAGGCCAGTGCGAGTGCCCATGTGCAGTGTGGGGACCCAGGGACCTGTCCCTGCTGCCCAGCGGGGTCCTGTGGAGCCAGACTTACTGAGAGTGTCTCCAAGCCAGCTGGTTCAGGTTTGTTTGTTTTCATGAACTGAACATACTGATTAGCTGGAGAAATGCTTGTGTTTCTTTTAAAACAATTGATTTTTATTCTTTTTTTTGTTTTATATATACATATATATATATGTATATATAAATATTTATTTTTCTGGTCTTAGTTGTGGCGTGCGGGCTCTTCATTGT